AGCCTGAAAATCAGTAAGCAAAGTCTGCACTGGAAGATGAAGGAGTGCAGGGAGCCCGTGAGAACTGCTTGTAGTGTTATATGGAATCAATATATGTTGGGCCCAGATGATCTGTAAGGTCCATTCCAAACCCTAAAAATTCTATGATTCTATGACAGGCAGCTCTCAGTTCAGTGCCCTGGAAGTCAGACATCGCCTGCTCCCAGTGTTTGAGGAGGACAATGACAATCTATGGCTGGTGACATGAGAGCACCGAGACAGCAGCAGCAAGGAGGGAGGAGAGTCTTCAGAGGGTCACTGAGAGTGGGGACTGTGGCTGCGCCTGGATTCTGGAAGAATGGACAGTGCTTGTCCAGCAGTGAGAGTGCAAAGCATCTTTGTTTTCGGGGAGAAGAGGAATCCAATCCCAGGTGTTTGCAAGGCATCAGGGGAAAGAAAGAGTAGGAAAACTAGGTGGGCGCAGGAGCTCTGGAAGTGTGGAGCAGTCTGCCTGCCTGCAGGATCCTCAGCTGGAGAGCCAGTGGTCCAGTCAGCCCAGGGGAGTCTTGAGCCAGGAGTGTGGCACAGGATACCAAACTGGCCATGGGGACAGTGGAAAAGGTTCCAGTCTGTGTGGGAAAATACTGATCCTGTGGTACATTAGTGAGACCTTGCCAGGTGCTGCACAGGGAACCCACTCAAGGAGAATGAAGCTGAGCCAGGTTGCCAGGGTGCCTGGAGAGGGGAGAGTCCACTGGAGAAGACAAGGTGCAATGTGGTCTGCCCAGCAAAGTGAAGTCCACCAGGGAGATGGGTGCAGCACTGGACAGGAGAGCCCTTTGCTCAAGCACACTGCTATGGGCAACCCTGGCAGGGGCAAACCTGCAAGAGCTAGCAGCAGAAACCCAATGCTGAAAGTTGTTTTAATCCAGGAATCATCTCCTTAGACCTAATGCACCAGAATGCAAAAAGTGCTCACTTCTTGGGGCAAAGGCAGGAGTGCTTTGGGTTCCTAAATCTCTTTGTCATCACTGAAAACTTTTCCCTTTACCTAAAGTAAACCTGTTCCAAATATAACTTGGTGTCCACAGAGCCTTTGCATTGGTTTAATGAGGCAGAGGTAGAAAACTACATGGCTGAGTCACCTGGAAGATGTAACACAGACAGACCCAGGACAAGACCCCTGGGGAGGGCATCCACCCCCCACTCCCTCCCTGTCCCCTGTGACCTCTCCAGAACTGGGGGCATACCAAGGATCTGGTGGTCCTCAGGACGTCACCACAGTCTGGGCTACCAGAAAACCAGCTTGGCTTCTCTGGCACCAGTAGCTTTACTGGCAGGTGGAGGGTGCAGAGGGATGAGGCACAACAGACCATGCGTCTCCTGCCAGCAGAGTTCCCCAGCCCACCAGCCAGGCAGGAGGGGACGTCAGAGGCTCTGTGTGACCAGGATGCAAGTGGCATCTTCACTTCATTTTCCAATAACTGTAGGGGTTTGCAATTACATCTGCTGATCTGATAGTCATTAGGGGATGATCAGCCAGTCATTGGCAGGGGCTGTTTGCCTTTCTGCTAATTAAATTGCATTTGATTTGCAATCAAATCTAATATGAGTCAAGTGAGCTTGAGGTAGGCTCAAGTGAAGCATAGGCCAATTCCACAGCCTCTCTGTGCATGTGCATCCCCAGATCACTGCTGGGAGCCAGGCTGTGGCACAGGTGGATGAGGGACACATCTGCAGGTGGGCAGTGCCATGTTTGTGGTAGGAGCAGGACTTCTGCCATGCTGCCTGCAGGGGAGCTGTGAGGCTGTGAACTCTGGGACACATGCCAGGTATCCCAGTGCTCCCCGTGAACTCTGGGAAGTGTGCCAGGTACCTCAATGCTCCTCTGGCTGCCAGGCCATGAGAGGCACAGCAAGGACACACGTCTGCAGGTCATGGGAGAGGGGGGCAGAGCAGAGCCCCCAGCATGGGACTGACTCCTCCTCTCCTCCATCCTACAGCTCTCCTGCCCTCAAGCACTCATCCCACCCAGGTGTCAGAGGCAGCAGTGACTGCACAGCTTATCTAGACAAGACGTTTCCTCTCTCCACAACAGGTGTGTCTGGCAGCACCAGCAGTCTGGGACATTAGAGTGATTTTTATATACTCCTGGGTGTATATTTAACAGGGAAAGGCTCTGCTGGGCTGGCACCCACCAGATCCCATGGCCAGTGGCACTTGGGGACCTCTGTGGTCTCACTCTGCATCATCCAGGGCAGATGGACAAGCCCTGATGACTGCGCATCAATGGAGTGACTCCTGCTCTGGTGACCATACCACTAGCTGATGGCAGTGGCGTTGACACTTGTCACATGCAAAGGGACATCCAGGAGGCTCTAACACATGGCTGCTCCAGGCAAATTCATTAGGCATCCATGGGCTCAGGTTTTTGAGGGGTGGCCAAGACCCCACAGGTCCTGAGCAACAAGTAGGACCTGGCTCAGGCATCAAAATCAAAGCACCATTCTCTGCTAGCCAGTGCTGCACTTAGAACCAGAGATGATCCCATACAGTCACATTTTATTTTTAAAAGGGGAAAAAATGAAAAGTCAAGAGGATTAACTATCACATAAGGCACAAAGATTGTCTGGAAAGACCAGCTTAGCTTCCCTCTGAGCACTTAAGCTGATATTAGCAAATGCAAACCCTAAACAACAGAGCCTAAATGGAAGCCAGCACAATTACAGAAGCTTAAAGAAGCTGGTTAGAAATAGCATAAATATGCTATAAATTGCTGAAGGCAAGGACAATGAAGACCAACAACGAAGACACCA